CCCCCTCGTTTTATCGAGGTAAAACCTTAGCGCCATAAAGGCAGGATCAGTGAGAAGGGCAACGGCAGAGTAATTCCTAGACCATCGGAGGCAAGAGGGGTGAGAAGACAAGTCATGAATATCACTCCTCCTTCGACCTGAGGCCAGGGCAATTAGGAATACCACCTTGTAGGTAACAAACTTCATGGAGGCAGACGCTAAAGGCTCTTTCGGTGGCAAATTCCACTGCGGAGCCAACTGCCGGACCCTAGGCTTGTCCAACCCAAACCCCCTAATCAGGGCAGAAAGAGAGGAGGACGAGCCTACCTCCGACCTACCATGAACAGAGAGAACACTAGCAATGGACGTGCGATAACCAGCGATAGTGTCAGGGGCAAGATTGCGGTCCTTAAACAGCCAAAGAAGGAAGTCCGCAATCACCTGGACAGTAGCCTTGATCGGATCAACCTTCCTGCCGACACACCAATCACAGTAAATCTTCCATCGTGACTGGTAGACGGCAGATGAGGCAGCCCAAATTGATCGAGCGAAGCGATCTGACACGTCCCTAGAAAAGCCTGCCTGAGCGAGGCCTCCTGAGATAGCTTCCACGCGTGAAGGTGGAGGATGTTCGCTCTGAGAGGAAGAGTCAGGGGTTCTTCCACCAGAAGCGACAAAAGCTCCGGAAACCAAGGCTACCTCGGCCACAGGGGCGCTATCAGGAGGAGGGACACTGATGCTACCGAAACTTCTGCAGCACCCTTCCCACCAGGTTGAAGGGCATTCCCTCCCAATCCAGAGACAGAGCGTCCACGGCCCAATATAGACAAACCGTCAGGTAGTCTAAATAAGACTGAATCTGGATGGAGAGACGCAGCAGTCTCTCCATCTTGTGGTGCTCTTTGGAACCAAACACCACCTAGTCCACCGATTTACCGGGCCAGGCTGCAAGCTCCCTCGATTCCAGCTTAGCTGGTTGAGGGGCAAGCAGGCCTTCATGTGTGGCAAAGTCAGTGGCGTTCACTTCTCACAAATTCGATGGACAGGAAGGGCGACCCCCTTCTCACGAGAGGGACTCGCTGAAGCAAGACCCCCTGAGACCGGAACAGAGACCGTAACACCAGACCCCAAAGAGCTGGTGGCACGACCCCTACCTCTCTGCTTCCCTCGCTTACCGGAAGAAACAGACGAATCTCTCTTACGGTAAGTTGACGGTAGCCTCAAAACAATGAAGTCCTTGTCCTGAGATTTAGTCTGTGAACAAAGTTCACAAGGCGAAACCTCACTGCAAGGACAACACCTGGGACAAGCATCATGATGGTCCAGTTCCACAAAGAAATGGGAACACCCATGACCTCTACCTCGTCGCTGTTCCGACCGAGACATACCCTCCAAAGCGAACGTAAACAAAAAATTACAAGTAGATAACACGGGAAAAAATGATAAAATACGATAGTACAAAGTATGCAACGTAGAAATAATTTCACCCGTAATATAAATAAGAAAACGGTTAAAATAAAAACGTTTGCCGAAACAAACAACCATCACCGAAATAAACAGAGGTCGCAAATTAACCTACGATAATGGCGGACCGTGGCACACCACAAGCACACGTGGAGTAAAATAACCGGTCGTAAAAGGCACAAAAATAATGTTCAACAATAATAAATCATATCAACAAGGGCAGATGGGTATAAGGCACACAAACTGCACAAAAAATTGAGTTCACACTCGAACCAGACCGACAAAACAATGTTTTGAAATGGAGCAAGCTCCGGGCGTCAGCAGGCAGCAGGCGCCATAAAAGGAAGAGAAAGGGAGATCACTCCTTGGCTCTGTCATCGATATATAGGTTACGTCACGGTGGGGAGGTAGGGATATTTGAATCTTTTTATTTTTGGGCTACAAAGATTGGTGTAGGTATTGTATATGCATACTAAAGTAATGGTAATTATTACTGAAATGAAATAGTATGTTTCATCTCTTTTCTAAACGGAAATTTATTAAGATGCTTGAACATTTAGTTTAAGTTTACTTACACTGTACTGTAACGGTAACACTTGTAGTTGACTCTCCGGCAATATTTCTAGCAGTACATCTGTATGTCCCGTGCTCTGACCTGTCCAGTTGTCCCAGTGACAACACAGCGGAGGCAGTAAAGTTGGTGTTGTCAGGTTTGGTCCAGACAAAGATACAGCCAGGTCTACAGTCAGCTATACAGGTGATGTTCGGTAACGTGTCCCCCTCAGTCCTGGTGTAGGTAGTGTCCGGTGGTGAAATTGAAGTAGACATTCCAGGACCGTCTACAAGATAAACACATACACATTACAAACTGACTAGAAGTTTCGTATTGTGTGGTATTTCAAATGTCAAAATAGTATCCATGATCGCAGGAGCATCATACGTAGCAGGTGAATTCCCAGAAAACTTAGTTATTGCACATTACAATACATATCCAATGCTTAAATACAAACACAGTTACGTATGAGAGTCAATACTATATTTTCTATCTGCATCATTGTCAGTCATGAGCTTTTAATTAACCATCAGCTAATTTAGTCCTGTGTTATCTCAATATTTTTATATATCTTAAGTGTATTTTTACTTCAACTTGAAGACTTATTTAAAAAAACCACTTTATATTTGGTTTTAATTATAATCGTGTGTGACCAATGCGATATATTTCATGTAACCTCAAATGATTGTTACTGATGTTTAATTTGTTCAAAGGGTAAACATACATGGATTCAGTGAAAAATAAATTTTCCACCTAAATGTGAGTAACCGGGGGAAGTGCTTTCATCTTGTACAATTAACCGTTACGATTTCACACCATTATGTTTGAAACAAAAACTCAATGGAATCAAAAGATAAACTGTATCAGTTAATAAAGATAATTGCTTTTCACTCTAATGCTTTTACATGTGTGAGCATTTTTCTTGTACAATATCAATGCCACGTTTTCCTGCAAACTTGACTTATTTTGAGTTTAAAATGAATATGTTACTAATGCAGCTTTCTGGTAAACGGCGTCGTAATACGGCTGTCCACTGGTTGAGGTAATACGAATATATTCCTATGAAAGAAAATCATGTGCAGTCATTTAATACACTTACTTGTCAAGTCAGTGTAACACCACATTGCAAAGATTTATGACGAGACCAGTTATATCAATATGTATATAGCATATTATAAATTAATAAAGAAGTACTTAGATAAATTATAGTTTTGTATGTCTCTAAGCAATGAAAAAATCACACTATTTTATTCCTATGCTAATAAGATTCCATATGTACACAGAGTTATCACAAGACAGTCATGTCTCTGTTATGAATACATACACTTTACAGTAACAGTGACGTCACTAGAGGTCCGACTCCCGTAACCGTTACTGGCCGCACACCTGTACACGCCCGTCTGACCACGTTGTATGTTGGTGAGCTGGAGATCTGACCCTGCTGTGGGGGACTGTCCATCCTTTGTCCAGCTGTAAGTACATACTGGGTTACAGTCAGACGAACACGTGACGGTAGGGAGAGTCTGTCCCTCTATAGGAGTGTAGGATGTAGTCGACGGGGTCAAACGCACAGTTGAAGGACCATCTGAAATGATTAGGTATTGGTATATGTACTCTGTAAAACGTTATCTGCATGAAGTGTAATTTTCACGTTTAGTATTCAAATTTGAATTTTCGATGCTTTGAATTTGTGGTTATGAGATTGAAGGTTAAGTAGTGTTAGCTGATAAAAGGTGTATCACGTTACCTCACATACAGTGGTATTATGAAGAACATAACGATTGAATCATGTGTATCAATGGCGAGAACTTGAGTAAGTAAAAGCAATATCACATGTTTGACCTTTGACATGTGGTATTGAAGTAAAGTCATGTTGATATGAAATATTCATTTGGTTTAAGTTCATATTTTGTGAACAAATAATAATAATAAAAAGAAAAGAAATCTATCTCTAAAGTCGAGGAACACTACGTTCTTTAAATAAACTACAAAACATTTTCGTCGAACGGGTATTACAATAATTTTGTCAGTGGTTTTCTATGTGATACAGAATCTTTATCGAACGGGTGACTGTTACAACTAAAGTTTACCTGGGTTAAAAAGGTACAAAAGTTCTACATGTGTTAAACATATAATGTTGTTAATCAGACACCCTTAACACTTTAGATTGCCAAAAAGGTAATATCAACGGTTTTAAACATAGTGTTAATTTATGACTCTTAGGTCATGCAACAGTTTTCCAATAGTATCTCAAACAAGCTCATAGATACATTTTGTATAGTTTCCTTTATGCATTCGTCATTAGCAAATGTTTAGTTTTATTGAATAACCAGGTATACAGGTTTAGACAATATATTGTAAATGACTTGGCTACGACATTGTTGAGAGGTCAGACCCAAGTTGCACTATTGGCAGCAGTTGAACTCTCGTATACCGGGTAACTGGAGTTAAGTACCGTTAAACAGTTTAGACTTAACAAAGGCTGTGTTTGCGCAAGCATTGTAAAACTGTTACCAATGTATCGGACCTGTGTCTTTGATAAATGAATATTGCGGCAGTATTACGGTATATTAGATGTAACAACTGTTAAATCTTCAAAAGACAAGTTTCAGCCTAATAATTATTATGTTATGTCTAAAGCCAATCGGTTGAGCCTTCCATTTGAAATATACCAAAGGTGCATATTGGATATGGATACCGAGTGCAGAACCGTTACAGCTCTATAGTGCCTCTTACTGTGAATGAACATATTTCCAAAACGGTTATTTTTATTACACAGGCGTCTAACACAGTGTGATGGACATATCTGAAAGTGCTTCACCCGCAGCGCTTTAAAGCGAAAACCTATCCGATAATATGAAACATGTTCAATAATGCATTGAGAAGCGTCTATCAGAACGCGTGTTCTGCCATTGCATTGTTGTGAATCGTCGCGCATTAGTATGTGGGCTAAAATTTGGTCTCAGCGGCCCTACACCGAATAATACCTTGCTCTGTTCAATTGAAACATATGATTCCAAACTTAGCTCCTAATCATTTCCGTGACGTGTTGATGCACTTGCACATACGCATTTGTCACATTGTTCTGTCTTGTTGACGCGTCGTCTCACAAGGGTTATTATTTCGAGGACTATCTGCAACGTCTCAGTGACGTTGAGTCTTTTGACGAGGCGGCAACTATTCTTTTTTAACTTAGGAAAATCGAGATACTTCAAAGTGAGCTTCTTTAAGATTAAATATGGAAAATCAACATGGATAAGCCGAAAAGTTGCTAAGAGTGAATCAGTATTTTAATCTGTGTTCTGAATTGCAGGCTTACTCTGTCATTTTATTGGTGGCAGCAAAAATGCGCATCAGTGATTTTGAATATTATTTTGAATATCGTCAGTTGCAGAGAACATTGCAAATCCTTGTCAAACCTTGCGCTTAATAGTTATCTAGCTATCTATTACAACAGATACATATTTTATAACTTTTTCGATATCCTTTTGATATTCTTGCCGTCTGTTGACATGAACACCCGAAGAATGCGTGTGGTAGCAGCATCGTACCAGATAAATTTCGCCACAGAAATTTCCGGTCACTTTTTCGCAACAAGATTGCAACTTCCTTCCGGTACATACATGTATATCATTACAAAATACACTGCCAACACTGTGTCCATCGATCATTTTGTTATTAGTTTATCAAACAATTCCTTCTTGATAAGTACTCAGCAATTGTCCGACAATGTACAATGGAATTTGACTCCAATATATACATATACTTGGATTTCTACGCTGTTCCTAAAACCAACTGTCGTTTTCTTGAATCACGTTTTAGAAATAACTGCACCAGTTTCGGACATGTTGTTTAAGTTTGTATCTCAAGCTTCGTTATAATCATCATAACATTAACAATGTTTACAGGCTTAAACAATGTCACCATCACTACAGTTATAACTGCTATCACCGCTCTGCTGATTGACGGTCATAATGCACCCCTGGTAATTAAGAAATAACCATCGAAATTTTGTATTAACAAAAACGACAGGTAAAGCATGTGGCTGTCAGTTTTGTTTAGAGTTCTGGTATCCACTTATCATTCATTACATTAAATTATGGTTAAAGCAAAAAATACAAAAGGAAAATAGGAGGAAAGTATCAAATATTATGGTAAAAAAATATTAAAACACTTATATTTAGCCAAATGGGTTGAATTTTCCAATTGATAAAAAAAACTTTCAAAAATAAATGTAAAAAAAGCAAGTAATTAAGATCAAGTAAAAATAGCAGCAGTAAATATTTTATTGCACAGATGAAAACTTACATAATATGGTTACACTTGTAGCTGTGGTCAACTCTCTGACAACATTCCTAGCCGTACACCTGTACGTCCCGTGTTCTGATCTGTCCAGTTGTCCTAGTGACAACACAGCTGATGCAGGAAAGTTGGTGTTGTCAGGTTTTGTCCAGACAAAGGTACATCCAGGTCTACAGTCAGCAGTACAGGTGATGTCCGGTAACGTGTCCCCCTCAGACTTGGTGTAGGTAATGTCAGGTGGGGACAGGGTAACAGTACTGGGACCAACTACAAAAATGCAGATTGATATGTATAGAGCTTAGTTATGTAAGAAAGTGAAGTACCATTTAGTGGCAGACATATTTTTGCAACAGTTGTAAATATTTCACTTGATTGTTTTTTTTTTCTTCTATACTTTCACCTACAGTGATTTGGAACGATATGGGCTCATAATAATTGCAATTGCTGTTTTTATACAACAGTACTTCTAACGAAAAAAAGAATTTCGGGCTGGCCATCCCTACATTATTTTGAATGAATGTCTCGAGAAACTTCGCTTCTACATTCTGTACAGGTTTTTTTTTAATTTTTAGACTCGAGGATAAGTTACAGCAAAATAAAACATTTTTCCCACGCCGTAACAATATCTGTTTATAACAATGAATTATGTCGGTGATATTTGCGCAGCTCCTTTCCTATTTCACAGAATTATTCACAATACTGACATATCCAATTACAATTGAAATGGAAACTTTTGGTATTAACACATTTTTAAACAGGACATCAACTAATCAAAACAGTTTGATTCAGCTTGTTTATAGACAACTGTGATGCCATAGAGTTAAAATTTAAAATAGAAATGAAATAGCACATGTCAGGGATTGGGGAAAAGATTATTTATGTATCAAATAACTTACACTGTATGTTAAGTACAGCTGACAACGTTAACGATCCGTAGATATTACCAGCAGTACATTTGTATGTCCCGTGTTCTGACCTGTCCAGTTGTCCCAATGACAACACAGCTGAGGCAGTTAAGTTGGTGTCGTCAGGTTTTGTCCAGACAAAGGTACAGCCAGGTCTACAGTCAGCTGTACAGGTGATGTCCGGTAACGTGTCCCCCTCAGTCCTAGTATAGGTAGTGGCCGGTGGGGACAGGGTAACAGTACTGGGACCGTCTGTAATACAAACATATCTAAAGTTCTTATAATTTTCTTGGAAAGATTAATGTTAACTTTCTATTCATTGGAGATACAGCAGGGGTAAGGCAGATAACTGACTACCCATCAACCCATTTAAATGATGCATTTTCCACCTCAGGCAGAATACAAAATAATTCTACTACATGTTTTCGTACATACAGTAACATTTCCGAAAATTTGTTACGGATTTTACCTTTTTACACGACATAGATGAATAATGCCTATGTATTAGTTGCAGTTATAAAAGATGATGGGTGGAGATTTGGGACAGTTCAGGATTAAAAAAAACAACTTTTCATGCTTTGAATTCAAAAAAAAGTATCCATTATTTTAAAAAAAGTAAAAAAATCAAAAAATTCATTTAAAAGTAATCTTGTCGTATTCGTTGTTCAGAAAGTAACCTTTTACTCAACCATGGACGGTAATTTCGAACAGAATTTT